TGTGTAAAAGATAACTAGACAGTTTTTTTCTTTCTTTAAATTAAAAAGCAGTTATTATAAGGAACTTGCAAAAATGTATATTTCACATAAGATATTTTTTTCCTAACCCTTTTGAAATAAATCTTGACTTTGTCAAACTTCATCAAGAAAAATAAAGTTATCACTTTCACACATAAATAAATACATAGTACAGATGTTAAAGGTTAACATAAAAACATACCAATCTTATATTTTTAAATTTGAATACATAACAAAATCTAAGGCATTTCATACAAAAAAAAATCACAGTAAATCATTAATTAAGTTTGCTCGTAGCATGTAAAATTCAAATTATTTGCTGTTATTTTTTTCTTCTAACTCTAGCAATTCAACTTTTTCTTTCTTATTACGGAAGTTTTTCTTAAACTATTAGATTTTAACAGCTAAGTCATATCATTTTATTTCCCTGCTTGAACAGCAAATTAATAAGTGGACTTAGTAAGTTCATCTATGCAACACAATAATCTAAGGAGTTTCTAAGGACTAATTTTGAAATCTAAGTAGTTCCAAGTACTCCTTGGAGACTTTTTCATTTCCAAGGAGTTTCTAAGGAGTATAAGGAGTTTGTATGAACCCTGCCTGCATAAACAAATATTTTTGATGAAAAATGTAGACCTCCAACTTTTTTTAACACATAAAAATTTAAATAAAATAATTAAATTTCTTGTGCCTAGCTAACTGAAAAATACCATGTTTTCGTACCCTCTTGTCCACCAATACCACAAGGATAAATAGATACAGAACCTCTGTTCATCATCCAGTGCACATTTCAAACTATTTAACTGGGAATATGCTCTGAAAGAGAATAGAAAAATGTTATAAAATGTCAACTAAACATCCATAGAAAAGTATATAACAATGTTTTCGAGTAAAGACATGACAACTTACTTCATTGAAATGAAGTAAATTTTCATGCCTGGGGAAAAAAAATCAAAATTGAAGCAAGGAGGACGAAGTTTATTCACAGTGGAGAAAACGCTAAAGTCAAAGTTGGCACGCATTAGACAATTGACTGTTTTATCCAGATTTAACCACAGTTTTAACACTCATATCAGAAACCTAAAATTTTAGGTAAGAAAATAATTGTTGGCTAATATGAATGTGAAGTAATTATAAATAAATAAACATAGAAAATAACAAGTGATCAACTATGATGTTCAATTGTTCTGACATTAACCCCCCTTTTAGTTTTGACAATCACTGTCGAAAATCATAAGTTTTGGTGAAGAGGATGATTGATTATCAATAGTAAATATTGAATAATTATGACTAAGAATTTGCAAAATTGCAATTTATCTAATTTACTACTAGAAAAATATATAGAAATTGAAAAAAATTATGATTTTTTTTTTCAGAACAAAGTGCAGTCACTGAAATATACGAAGTATAATAAATAAAGTTATGAAATAAAAAAAATAAAAGTAAATTTTGTTTCCTCCCCATAGATCTAATAAAATAAGTCAGAGTTTAACAGGTGTAACAGTTGCTACAGTCAAATTTTTAATTTTCACTTCAAATCTATTGCAGTTTATTAGTAGTATATTTCATTTGAATTACCTATACGATAACTAAAATTTATTGAGAATAATCTATTTGATTAAATTTGTGTGAATACAATATTTTCATATTAAGTTATGCTGAAGCTACCAAATATTATACACTCATTTTTAAATTATTTTGCATACAAGCAATGGACAGATTTAGTTTTATCTTATGCTTAGCAAAGTGCTTCTTGTTAAAATTCTTAGTTGAACTATTACGGAATTAGTTGCAAATCACAGTTTTTCAAATTTTTACATTTTATGCAGATTCTTAAAATAGAGATATTTAAATAATTTCAAATAGAGACCNAAAATAATTATTAGCTAATATAAATGTGAAGTAATTATAAATAAATATACATAGAAAATAACAAGTGACCAACTAGAATGTTCAATCGTTCTGACATTAACCCCCTTTTAGTTTTGACAATCACTGTCGAAAATCATAAGTTTTGGTGAAGAGAATGATTGATTATCAATAATAAATATTGAAGAATTATGACTAAGAATTTGTAAAATTGCATTTTATCTAATTTACAACTAGAAAAATTATGATTTTTTTTTCAGCACAGAGTACAGTCACTAAAAAAAAAACAAAGTCTAATAAATGAAGTTTTGAATTTAAAAAAAATATAAGTAAATTTTGCTTCTTCCCCACAGATCTAATAAAATAAGTCAGAGTTTAACAGATGCAACAGTTGCTATAGTCAAATTTTTAATTTTCACTTCAAATCTATTGCAGTTTATTGGTAGGTAGTATATTTCATTTGAATTACCTATGTGATAACTAAAATTTATTGAAAATAATCTATTTGATTAAATTTGTGTGAATACAATATTTTCATGCTGAAGCTACCAAATATTATACACTCATTTTTAAATTATTTTGCATACAAGCAATGGACAGATTTAGTTTTATCTTAGCAAAGAGCTTCTTGTTAAAATTCTTAGTTGATCTATTACGGAATTGGTTGCAAATCACATAGTTTTTCAAATTTTTACATTTTATGCAGATCCTTAAAGTAGAGATACTTAAATAATTTCAAATAGAGACCTGCTTTTACAACAACAAAAAAAAGGACCCAGAAATTTAGAATTATAAGTTCCTAAAGATCTGCAGTTTCATCAAATCTAGTGAAATCACAGGTGTATTAGGAAATATATTTTAATAACTGTACTAAATATTGTTATCAACTTGATAAAGCACTCTAACTGATTGATTGAAAGCAATTAATGGATTTTAAATACTCAATTGTTTTTTTAAAAAAAAATATATACAGGCTTGATTTTAGGCGGTTATGAGATATATACCCTTCAAGTTGGTCCTCGCCTTTAATGTTTACAGTACCTTGTAAGTCACTGCCCAGAAGTTGCAAATATTTGGAGATTATTCTGCTTCAGATTATGATAGGGAAATCTTCCCATTGCTCAAGAATATATATGTTTCTTTCCCCCAAGTAAAACTTTGTCATAGAGAAATATCAAACACTGAAACAATTTTTTGTAAACATCTTTTAATTACAATCTGGTTGATAATATAGTATCGAATTTCAAGGTATAATTAAACTTTTTCAAATATGTGATAACTAAAAAACAATATGCAAGAAAAATAAATGTAACAAATTTAAAGGTTTAAAACAGTTGTAATATTCTATGTAAACAAGTAATATACATCCTTTTTTTAAAAAAAATTACTGTGTAAAGAATTACTAAAATATAGTAAATTTCATTAATGCAACTAAATTCTTCAGGTACACAACTACACATCACAAATTGAATTCACAACTGACATTACACCTAAATTTTAGAAAAAATTAAAAATAAAAATTACTACATTTCATCTTCTAAGGAAATCAATATAGAAATGCAATATATATTTACTAATATTTAATGCATAATATA